ATCTACAATTTGATACCAAACTTATCGACATTAGTTCATAAAATAGCAGTTCAATAAAATTTTAAATGCAAGTCAACAATGCAATGACATGGCCTTTAAACCCATGACCTGTGTGGAGAGGGTTAAGCTGTTTGAAGGAGGGGGTGTTTGTTTGTTTGTAGTAAAGCACAAAGTTACAGAATGGGCTATATGTGCTCTGCCCACCATGGGTATCAAAACCCAGTTTCTGCAGACATACTGCTGTGCCAATGGGGGAAAAGGGGGTCATCTCTTTCAGAAAATCAGATATTTTTCTTAAAGGATGTTTAACAAAGTCTGGAAACCCAGCTTACTCCTTCTATACTACAGAAACACAGGGTAGCATGAATCACTGTACATTTAACATTCTTTATGGAAACTCAGCCTCATGTTTAAATTAAAACCAAAAATAATAATAAAACAAATACGTTATTTTTTGAGAAATTACTCTAAAATCAGTGAACTTGTTCTTGTTTTTAAAAACAAGTTACCTGAATGGCTCTAAAATGAGAAAAATGTGGAATAAAATAAAGTCAGCAATGTTCATAAAAATAATTACAGCAACTCAAACATTACCTCCTCATCAAAATCCATGAAGTTTCCAACAAATTTCATGTTTGGATAAAGAGTACCAAAATGTGTTAGGACCTCTTTTACAAGGTCCCCGAGACCAGCTGAGAAGATCAACAAGGGGATCCCATTTGTGTTTAAGGTGTCAAATAATAGCTCACAACCACTCCTGAAAAATTGTTTGTATAATTACAATTAATAATAGCTAACAACCACTTCCAAAAAATTGTTTGTATATTTACAATTAATAAGTTATAGTTCACAATCACTCCTGAAAAGTTGACAAACAACTTTTCAGGAGTGATTGTGAACTATAACTTATTAATTGTAATTATGCAAACAGTTTTTCAAGAGTGGTTGTGAGCTATTATTCATTATTAATTGTAATTATACAAAAAAAATTACAATTAATACTGAATAATAGCTCACATCCACTCTTGAAAAAGTATTTGTATAATTACAATTAATAACGAATAATAACTCACAACCACTCTTGAAAAACTGTTTGTATAATTACAATTAATAACAATTAATACCTCACAACTTCCTCTGACAAACTGTTTGTATAATTACAATTAATAGCTCACAGACACTCCTGAAAATCTGTTTGTATAATTACAATTAATAGCTCACAGACACTCCTGAAAATCTGTTTGTATAATTACAATTAATAGCTCACAGACACTCCTGAAAAACTGTTTGTATAATTACAATTAATAAGTTAATTAATCGACTATGGCGTGAAGTTTACAAAAAGAGCAATATTGAAAAATTAATAAGTTTTTTTTCCTACTAAAGCTTAAGACTGTGTTCCTGGATCATTACACGAGTGGCCAAATAATAAAACATAAAAGACATTATAATTCATTAGATACTACTGTTTAAATAGAAAATTAATAGCAGTTATTAAAATTATTTTTTCATTTGAAACAAGATGTACAATAAAATAAGAAATGGATATGTATGTTAGTTTAAAAACTATGTAAGTAATTTACTGTTAAGAACATACTACTCAACAGAACACACTATTAATCAACTGCTGCCTACTCAGTTGTATTTTTCTCATATTTGTTCAATTTGCTGAAACACTGTTTCACTTTGACCTCAGAACAACTCTAAATGCACTTCTACTATGGTCAGCAAAACAAGTTGAAACAAACTTCAACTGCAGCCTGATAAAACTAGAACACCACCAAATAGAACAACTCCAAACTCACTTCAACTACAACCTACTAAAACCAGAACAACTCCAAACTTCTTCTATAGCCTGCTAAAACCAGGACAACCCCAAACAAACTTCAACTACAGCCTGCTAAAACAACTACAAATAAACTTCTACTTTGACCAGTTAAAACCAGAACAACTCCAAACCCACCTCAACTACAGTCTGCTAATACTAAGACAACTCCAACTACACTTCTACTTTGGCCTGCTAAATCGAGAACAACCCCCAAAAAACTTCTTCTATAGCCTGCTAAAACAACTACAAATAAACTTCTACTTTGACCAGTTAAAACCAGAACAACTCCAAACCCACCTCAACTACAGTCTGCTAATACCAAGACAACTCCAACTACACTTCTACTTTGGCCTGCTAAATCGAGAACAACCACCAAAAAACTTCTTCTATAGCCTGCTAAAAGCAAAGCAATTCCAAACAAACTTCTTCTATAGCCTGCTAAAACCAAAACAACTTCAGACATACTTCAACTACATCCTGATATAACCAGGACAATCCCAAACACATTTCAACAATAGCCTACTAAAACCAGGGCAACTTCAAACATACTTTTACCTTGACCTGCTAAAACTAGACCAACCCCAGACATACCTCAAGTATAGCCTGCTAAAACTAGAACAATACTCGAAACACATTTACTTAATCTCAGGAAAGCCTCACATACAATTTTACTTTGACCTTAGGACAATTCCAAGCACACTTCAACAACATCTTGTTAAAACAAGGACAATGCTTAACACACTACAATAACAGCATGTTAAAATAAGGACAGCACTTAACACACTTCAATGACAGCCTACTGAAATAAGGACACCTAACACACTTCAATGATAGCCTGTTTAAATAAAGACAACACCTAAAACACTTGTACAATAAACTAGTATTTTTAAGTTTGCTAATTATCGTACCTTTAAACTGTATACAAAGAAATACATTGTTTATGATATAGCAACTACAGCAAGACAGGACTCATACTACAATGTAAGTTATTTTAGTGTGTTATACAATGGAAGTAAACACACGTTGTCATTTATTATGTTTTAGAAAACCTGCACTACAAAAACAATACAAACTCAAAGAATATATAGAAAAACATTTAGTTTCATATTTTTCAGCCCTACCTCAACATGACGTCAGAGCTTTCCACCATTTTGGTAAAATCACTTTTTTTTACTCCACTTGTACCCACAACATGGTGAGCTTGTGTATACCTACAAAACAAAAGGTTAATAAAAGTTAACATTTTCTAACACTGAAAATGTATTTCCGATAGGTACTTACTACCTCTCACCCATAGTTATCTCGATCTTCATTTGCCCTCTAGCCATTGATAAAGTTTTTCAAAGTACACCAGTCTTTTATACCCTTATATCTTTTGCATCATTGCAGCAACATGTGCTGATCATGTGACCACCCTCCACCAATCCCATTGCACCCTCTATACTAGTGCAGGTAGCTCCCTCTACCCTTGCGGTACAATCCTCACTTTCGAGAACTGGCATGTACAATCCTGAAAACACTGGCAAATCAGTGGGGAGGAAGGGTGGGAAATGGGTGAGAGAAGGTAAGTTTCTATCAGAAATACATTTTCAGAGTTAGAAAATGTTAACTTCCAAAACAGTACTACCTCCTCTTCCCTATAGCTAGAATACCACAGTGGAAAAGTGGAGGGGCCAGTGAAGGTGCAAAAACAAATAATCAAGTGGAGAGTGACCACTAAAAAAAAAAAAAAAAAAAAAGGGGGGAGGGGCCCCTAAAAAAAAAAAAAAAAAAGACAGGTGTACCACAATTAAACTACAAGGCACACCTGTGGGGTATAGCATTATTTCTTGATCAGGTATGCTCTTCACCCATTAAAGAAGATAAGACATATAGGGTGGAAACGAACAGAATAAGTGGCTAGGGCTAGAGGACAATATATGAATAGGCAAAGTGTGGTCCACCTGGGCAGAAAACATCCAGGGAAAGCACCTAGGATTGATATTAAAATAGCCAAATGAGGTACACCCAGGCAAAAACATCTGGGGAAAGCCCCTTGGTATACAAAGGATTACGTCAAGTGCAGTCCACCTGGGCAGAAAACATCCACTGGAAGCACCTTGCATCATAGATTGCATGCCATATTCTGTGTATAACATGTAGCATAACAATGATAGCCCTCTTCTCATTGAGTGAGTACATATGGCTATGAGATTGTTTTATTGTACAAAACCCACTTGTGACAAAACCTCCATGGTCCACCACTACAACGACTGGGAACCAGAAGTGGCAAGGACCCCTGTGCTCCAATAGAAGAAAGAGGGGGGTACATTGTGGAGTTTGGAGGAACGACCCACTGGAGGTGGTGCAATGGGTGTCTGCATTTCCCTATTTTGAAAAGCAGAAGGATTGTAAGAATCACGAGGCAGTAGGGATGGACAAAAATCCCTATCTGCTTTACTCATGAAATCCATGAGTGACGATTCTCAATAGATAGATAGATATTGATAAAAAATGTGATATATAGATATAGATACACCACCAGAAAAGCATCCAGTGGCCTTACACCCCATCTCCACAGTGAGCATTCGAGAAGTATACAGATATAGTGATAAGATATAAAATTCAGCATACCTGAAATATGATGTATAAGCAGCAATAAAAGAGAAAAAAACACACACACACACATATATATGATGACTTACCTCAGTCACAGGCAAATAGACATGTGTAGAATCACCACAGGAGGAAGACGATATCTGCCCAAAGAAGACACAGTGAAGTTGTACAGAGAAAGAATGACAAAAGTTAAGGGAGTTTAGGGAATGAAAGATCCCCTACAAACGATGGCAGTGTCAAGCAGCTAAAGACAGAGTTAGATGATGAATTAGATGTGAAGAAACAATATGTAGAAAGTAACCTGCTAGGTGTAGGAGTTGACAAACCCAAGCCAAAGTGGGCTCAACCACAAAGGGAAGTGAAAAGAATTCCCCAAATGAATAAGATACAGTGAGGTGTTAATAAAGGACTTCTCCAACCCACCTGAAATGAAACTCACCTGAGAAGCTCTCAAAGAAGGAAACGAGTGTGAGTGATGGACCAGACAAAGGGAGAGGCAAGTTGGAAGCCTGTTGTCCATGAAATGTGAGTCTGAAAATCCAATGATTGAAGATGACATGTAAAAGTATACCACTCCAAAAAAACACATACAGAACAGAAGAAAGACGGTGAGTGCCCAGAACAGAAAGGCAAAACTCACCTACAGGAACCAAAGAAAAGAACGTGACACTGGGGTTTAAAACCCCACCAGAGTGAGAGGTAGGACTCCATGGTGAAGCGAGGTGACTGCAGATAAGCATACAGCCAAGACAGATCAAGAGAGGGACTTTAAACTCCCATGTATAGGGAGACAAAGAAGGATGGGTGTAAACTCCTGGTTGAGTGGGCTCCACACATTACATACTTCCTTTGTGTAGTAGGACATGAACAGACAAGGCATGATCCTGAAGAGGAGGAGAGGAGATCTGGGAAGTGAGCAGAAGGGGGAGAAAAACAGAAGTCAGAAACCTGCAATAAAAGAATGTAACTGTCAGGAACTGTAGCCAAAAAGACACATAAACTAAAGAAATTGAAGAAAATACACAGAACTAATGAACTAACAAAAACTTAGAAATGTGTAGTCTACAAAGAGCTTAAAAGTAACACACCTGCAAAACTAAGAAAATCAACCTAAAATATAAAACAATAAGTAACACATAAAGTACAAAACCACTAAAGGACTGATAAGATAAACGACCCTTAAACATGGAATGTAGAAGTCCACTCAAAGAAACTTTAAGACAAAGGACACAAAAAGAAAACTTACACTAAAGAACATGAGAATAAAAAAGGCACCCAGTTACCAATAACAAAGGTTGACTCAAAACTTATCCGCAAATAAAAGTGACTAGTAGTGAAGATACAAAAAAAGGGAACTTATAACTAAATAGCATTAACAGTGAAAAAATGTAAAATAATAAGCCAAATTACCATAAAAAACAAACTCTAAATACAAGTTGTAAACTAAAGTAACCTAGATTGTAAAAAAATATATATAAAATTCAAACTTACACAATATTGACCAGAGAAGACCTAGATGACATAAATTATCAAGTGCAGAAATTAGATCCATACACTCAAGCTCACATGAACTCATTGAACATGGGTATATCTACGAGGAGTGAGAAATACACACTGAAAAATTTACCACAGATCTCCTGGGAAAAAGAACAATACCTATCTGGAAAGGCAAAAATCGCCAGCCAAACACAAGACATGAACTCCCCACAAATGAAAGTCTGTGCATTCTCAGCAGACATCATAAAACCTGAGACTGAGGTCTAGTGCCATAACTGCTCTCTTAGTCACTTGGAGAACGTAAAACACACGTCTATATATGAGAATTGCCAATCGAGAAAGTGAGGATTGTGCAGCAATGGTAGAGGGAGCTACCTGCACTAGTATAGAGGGTGCAATGTGATTGGTGGAGGGTGGTCACATGATCAGCACATGTTGCTGCAATGATGCAAAAAGTATAGGGGTATAAAAGACTGGTGTGCTTTTAAAAAATTTACATTTGCCTAGAGGGCAAATGAAGACCGAGATAGCTATGGGGGAGATTAGGTAGTACCATTTCAGAATATGCTGTGTTGACAGTCAACTGCAATATGAATGAACATACAAAACAAGTAATGTATAATAATCAATACATGACATAAAAGCCATTTTTGGAACAAGCTGTTACTAAAACACACTGCCTTTTCTATGTATTAGAAACCACTTCTTTTCTACATGGTTTTCACTAGATTGCCTTATTAAAAAGATGCACACACACACATGGAGAAGATAAGTAATAATACCCACATACAGACCCTCGGGGTCCACTTTATATGGGTGCAAAATGTCAGTTTTCTAGGTTCTATCCTTTTGAAGTTATGGTGGTCAAACGCACAGACCCACCCTTTTATTATTATTGATTTATCAATTGCTTCTGTGGAAAAACAAGCCTAACAATGCTGTTCCTTTCTTCAAGAATTAAATATTTACTGTACACAGGAATATGTGCAACGCATAAACACATATATATTCAGTCTACAATTAACAATACTCCACTTGTTCCCACAACACGGTGAGCTTGTGTATTAACACAAACGGATATTAACAGATGCCTCTTTTATGATGTTACTGTTAAATATGTGAAGTCACAATCCATTTAGTCTTAAAACACAAACAGATATTAGCAGATGCATCTTTTATGATGTTACTGTTAAATATGTGTGAAGTCGCAATCCATCAGTCTTAAAACAAAAATGTATGCACTGTTTTATCAAATTATTAGCTCAGTGATTATCCTCACTTAAGTTATCCTTTATTTAGCATATACAGCATCTTTCAATAGGAACACAAGACCAGAAATACAAGAATTTGTTGATTACTTACCATTCTACCATTTTTGGAATCTTGTCCTCAATACTGATGGTCGGATCTATTTCAATTGGATAATACTTACTGTGTAGATCTTTAGCCTAGAAAAAACAGTAAAGGTGATACTGACAAGATTGATAGACTGAATTAGATTAAATGCCAAGAAAGTTTATTTTAAAAAAAATGTTAATAAAAATGAATCAATAATTAGTTAAATGGGAAAAATAGGTACTTTCTGATTAGATGAATGGGGTACATGGAGTTCCTCTTAGGAGCCTCTTTATAGTATAGGACATTATTCATCATTATCCACATAAGTAGCATTAAGAGCAATTTGAGATGTAAATAATTCAAATGTTTTGATGTAATTAAGTTAGTATAGAAAGTGATCCCAAATTGACCTTTATAATTTCCATACAGTAACTTCTAAAATGTTTTGTGTATCTTCACAAAATGTTGCAAACTTTCAGTGAGCATTAAGTCTTTTGTAGACAGAAAATCAGAAATTTGAATGAAGTATTTTCACTAAAATGTCTCCATGAATATATGGAGTCAATATATTGACTGCTCCTGGTGCAAAGTGAATTTCATGTTAAGATTAAAAATACTTTTTTTACACATCTGAAAATTCTCAAATTTCATTTGTGTAATCTCTAAAACCTCCTAAGTAAATTTCAAAGTTCTTTTTCATTAAAACTTTATATTTTATCCATTATCTTCCCTATCCTAACTCTATATGAGGTTGGTCAAATTGACCAACCTTATAACCGCCACAATAAACTAAGAAATAAATCTAAATCATCCTTTTTCTAATTCCTAGAATGACTAAATTGTAACATGAAACTACATTTGCTTATCCTAAATACCTTTAAACTCCTAACAGTATATATATCTGTTTATATTTAAATGTTAATGTTTTATTCCCTTTTTAACCATGTCTAATTAATAATCCCACCACACAAATTGTAAATCACTTGGCAAACATGTAGCCCATGTTATCCTACCAAATTACGTAAAGCACAGGCAACACACGAGTTGCTCTTGAGCATATCTTGTAAAATTGTTTTATTATTATACTTTATTTTATCTAATCTAACATAAAAAAATCTTTATAATTACACTACAAAACTTTACATTTTAGTTACTTTTATAATAACAAATAAAGAATACACATGAAAAATAAGATATAATACTTACATGGGTCTTTTTTCTTTTGCTGTCGACTGTCAATGAAATTTAACCCTACTTTTTGTATACTAATCGTACTTCCATACTAAAGAACACAAAATAATAATATATAAAAAGCAGATAATATCCTATAACTATCAAAATGTTTCTGGCTTTCTAATTATGTAACAAGAGCATTTATAAATTCAGTTAAGCTCGTCAATGTGTTTCCCATGAGAATAAAGTAATTGACATTAAATTTCGTACTTCTTGGAGGGGGTAGTAAATAAATTAGAGAAAAGGGAATACCTAGTGAGGAAATATCACAATTCTCATACTAGGGGAAATTCAGGATTGTTTTTTTAATATTGCCTTATATAATTACAACTTAAAATTTATATATAAAATTAAAATTTGGATTATTAGCTACTGCCAAGTTTATTCAAATACCATGTAATCTAATACTTTCATTAACTTTTGAATGTAACACAGTAAAACCTCATGACATGTGCAGAAAAGGATATCCATATGGAAAGAATTAAAGAGGAACATAACCTGACCCAATAAGTCCCAACATCAGAGGAATAAAATAAGGAGGAACAGAGAAGAAGTGGAACAGAATAAGCTAACAAAGAGAAGGGAATGAACCTCTACAGAAAACTCTTCTGGAGTATGATGAATACCTCAAAAGGTGGGGGTAGGATAGAGAATACAGGAGTGTGGTGAGAAAAAGACGAAGACACAAAAATGGGGAACTAGAGAATGAAATAGAAGGCCGATCCCCAAGCAGACCAAACAGCTACCAAACACAGGAAATCTAGAAAGGAAAGGAATAATACCTGCAAGTCAGGACAGAAAAAAGTGTCACAAATGAGATGGGGACAAGCATTTGGGTGTGAGAGATGAGCTGTTCGAGAAAGGAAACAGCATAAGCCAGAATAACAAGCAAAAATGAAAGACAAGGTAAACCCCAAGAATTGGGGTCATGGAGTAAAGAGCAAATAATATCAAAGGACACAGAAGAAAGGAGTTTCTTTTAGTTAAGTACAAAGCTACACAATGGGCTATCTGTGCTCTGCCCACCTGGTTTCTAGCATTACATGTCTGCAAACATACTGTTGTGCCATTGGGGGCAAAAATGATAGGAATATACCTGAGAATGAAATCCAAAAATATCTAGGAAGGTTAAGATCATTCCTACAATAGTAAGGCACTACCCAAAGCAAATCAAGTTAAATATGTAGTCAAATAGATCATTCCTGACAGTGGAGAAAGTACTTCAGCTGATGGGACAGATATAGGAAGCCCAGTACACATGTGGTAATCCACAACACTTTAACAATGGCTGCAACATCCCCAACAGTTAACGAGCCCCAAGAAGTCATAGTAAAAATAAGGCCTGTGTGTGTAATAATGTCACTCACACATGACTAAGTATAAGTCTCCATCATTTGAGAATACATGATACAAAGTTAAAGCTTTTGAAACAAACGTCAAAGTTCATTTAACAAATGCAACTCTGAAACTGAACTCAGATGAGAAGAATGAAGTTAGCACGAGTGCAAGCGCATAAGGAGAGTAGCTGTGTGTGGAGGCTGTGATACCTTCCTAATGGTGGAGGGCTTTTGTCGCATGATGGTATTTTCATGCACCAGCAAAGTTCACGTCAAACAGATGAATTTAAGAGATAGTTATCTCAAGGATAGTGGCACGCAAATCTCCTAGACAGACATGTGAAGAAGATAGCACTTCTGTGTCAGATGGCGAGTTATCTTTTCAGATACAATCCTCTTAAATAAATATTTTAAGTCAGTGCCACTGAAAGTACACCTATTACTTATATAGTATGCTAGCATGTGGATTTAAGGTAGTATATAAAACTGCAAGTTAGTTTAAGACACACAGCAGCTTATGTGGCACATTTGTTAAACACCCACGCTAGGAACCCCAAGGTTCAGGCAGGCATAGTCATCCCTAATTTAGAAGTATTGACTAGAGGGAGAGCAACCATTCAGCCCTACAGTATACATGGCTAATCTTTATTTAACCAAATAGCAGGATTGACTGTCACAGTTATTATTAACGCACAGTTCAGGGTGTAATGTGTTCAGCAGCATACTGTGGGCTCAAACCTTGGACCTTATGATCCACTGCCTAGTCTTCTAGCCACTATCTTTTTTATGGATATTTACTGTGTATTATTACAACAACATTTTTGAATTTATTAAATCTAATAAAAAGATTTGGACTTGTAACAAGTTAATTCAAGTTAATAAAAGTTAATTCAAGTGAAGAGTCAATAAACGATTTTCATTAATCATTGGTATGTAGAACATAAAATTTCACCTTTTTTCGGCACTCCTCACGAATGTATGGACTAGAATCAAGAATACCTATGAAAAAGTAGATAGAACACATTAATTAAAGTCTTGTTTTCCTAATGTAAATGTGTTTTAACAAGAATATCAATGTACTTCAAGGCATAAACAATGATAACAAACTTTATTTAAGTTTAAAAATTGAATACTTATCATGCCATTTGTTTCCACACCATTCACTACCAGTTGGGTCCACATACTGCAACACATTATGAATTTTAATGTTTTGGTCTAATACAACATTCAATGTAGAGAACTGACCAAACAAATGGAAGAAATAAATCAATTTGATGTAAAATACACTAGAGACATATGCAGTAACTAGTGAAATATTGATGGTATTTTTTGTTAAAATATTTGGGTGCATGATTGATATGTTATAATGGGTGCTGTAACTAACAAAGACAGGGACCCACAAGCAATGTGATGCATAAACAGTTTAAAAAAATGTTTAAAAATCTGATAAGGCCCCCCAAGTAATTCTAGGGTTAATGATAATTAATACTTTATTTGAAAATTATCATAATTTGTTTATAATTATTTTTATACACATATTCAGTTTCAAACACTTAAATATTTTTGTTAAAATTACCCTCAGAGTGAAATTTCAGTTGTAATATTGAAACCTTAGGTTTGCTCATGACTCTGCGATTGTGCCTATCATATTAAGACTAAGCTTTAACTGGTATTATACTAGTGATTCTTGGTGATAAGAGATTAGTACTGAACTGAAACTGATAAATACTGCAAAAAAAACTGTAATACAGTATTACTAAGATGCAAATATATGTAAATTCATTCATAACCCAAGAAAACTGAATTTAATACAAGTTTAACACTAGTTCACCAAACAAAAAGTAATGGTGCCAACAAATAAATTATATTATATATAGGAGCATCTAAGCAAGAGAAAACTTTACAGTCACTAGATACATCAATTACGTTCCCAAACAATATATATATATATATATATATATATACACACATCACTTTCCAAAAAATCATTCCAAAAACTAAAAAAAAATCTACCACAGAAATAAATCCAAAAAACAATTCAAAGTTGAAGAACAAAATAACACTTATCATTACAGGTGCCTATGGTTTTAACAGACATTACAAATAACAAATAATTCTAAACTCAGAAAATGTTAAGAATTTTAGTAACTGACATTTCTTATATGACACTCTCTAGGACACTTACTATAAGTACTGCTACATGGCTTTTGTTGATAATGAATACGGGTGATAGTATGATCAAAGTCTGAGATCACCTATAACAATAAATTATTGAATATAACTGTAAATGTATTTATCAAACATTATAGTACACTTTATAAGAAAATTTATAACCTTTTATGATTGTCATAGTCATTCTCACACCAAAAAGTAGCTGCTAATAGGTTTCAGTTATGTTATCAATATTCTAAATGTATTTTACGTTACAGATATTCTACTTAACAAAACATAAGCTCTCTTATAAAGACTCATAGTTATCTCTCTATACAAATTACTAAGAAGGCCTCACTTAAAATACTGTGAAGAGCTTTGATCACCTTATCTACAAAAGGATACTGACCTATTGGAATAGTTTTAGAAAAGAACTACTAGCATAATTATTGGGATGGAAGGGTTAACTCGTAGGGTCAGAAAAGAAGGGTTAAAGTTGATCTAATTGAAGTACACTGAATTATCTGGAGACTGAACAGGTTAGGGGCCTCTAAATTATTTGTGATATATTCTGAAGAAAACATGGCAAAGTAACATAAATTTAAGATTTGGAAAACATAGGCAAGGCTCCAGTTAAGGTAATTACATTTTTCTCACAGGGTGACTGGATTAGTGAATGAGTTGTCATTGGCAGAGGTGAAGGCCAGTATTTTGCAGGAGTTTAAGATAGGAATCAATGATTTCCTAAAAGTGAACCAAGGGGTTTAAATTTTTAATTTTTTCAACCCTTATCATCCATATACTTATCAAGCTTTTTCTTAAACTCGCTTAAATTTACTGCCTCTACAAAATCTGAAGGCAACCCATTCCTGTTAGAAAAATGAAACTGTCTTTGCTAAAAATTACTCCTACTTTGCCAAAATTTATATTTGTGTCCCCTAGTCCTACTATTCTCACTGTTAAATATGAAAAAAAATAATGCATGAACACTATCAATTCCCATTACAATCGTAAACACCTTAATTAGATCCTCACTAACTCTTCTTTTTTTAAGAGATTTCAGCCTCTCCTCATATGACAACCCCTCCATCCCAGGCATCATTCTAGTAGCCCTTCTCTGAACCCTTTCCAAAAATTCAATGTCTTTCCTAAGGTAAGGAGTCCAAGACTGAACACAGTATTCCAAATGTGGCCTAACCAGTGACCTGTGCAATGAAAGTATAACCTTTTTAGACTTGCATTCAATATTTCTGTAGATACAACCTAAACTCCCATTTGCCCTACCACAAGCAACAGCACAGTGCTTGGATGGCTTTAGAGACTGATCGACTATTACACCAAGATCTCTTTCCTTCAAGACACTTTAAGGTTATTCCCATTCAAATTATACTTATAATTCAAATTATGATAACCCACATGTATTATCTTGCATTTATTATATACAATTAAAACCTATCTGCCATTTATTTGCCCAACTCACTAAATAATCTAAATCCTTTTGTAAATCAGTAACATTCTCTTCACAGCTAGCCACCCCCAGACCTTAATATCATCTGCAAATTTAAGTCATTTATTGATCATTCCTTTATCTGTGTCACTGATGTAAATCAAAGAGAGCAAAGGTCCTAAGACTGAGCCCTGACGGTACCCCA